CAGCAGCTGCAGCCGCACCCGCAGTAGCAGCAGCAGCCGCAGCAGCATCGGCCCCATTCTGTCTTTTGTTTCCTTCGCCTTTCCTTCGGTTCCCCTGACTAACCACCCATCCCTGTACTGTGCCTCCCTTCCCACTTGACCCTGTCTACGGCCCGCTGTTCCCCCCCCCGAACTCCTCTCTGGCTCGTTTCCCCCCTCGCTCTCCTCCGTCTCCTGTCTTGTCCCTTGTCCCTTCTCGTCCCCACTCCCCTGTCCTTCCCCACTGGGTCCGTCGTCCCCCTGGTGGTCGTCCTGTCTCTCTTCGTGCTAGTGTCCACCCTACGGTTCTTCGTTCTCGTGCTCCTCCAGTTTCCGTCCTGCCATTACCTTCCCAGTCGTCGCTCTCGCTATCCCCCTACTTCGCTCAAAGACTCTCCTCCCAATGCTCGTCCAATTGTCTCCCGCTTGCTTGCGTCGCTTGTCACTGACCCTACCGCCCCTCCTGAGACTATCTCTGCCCTCGTCGCTGCTGTCGCTGACTTTGCTACAAGCCATCGCCTTGACTAGGCTTCTGCTCGGGTCTTTGACCTCGCCTGTCTTCCGTCCGTCGGGGTGCACGTGCCCTTCGAAGTGACGTTCAAGAGGATAGGCAGTACGAGTTCTCTTTCCTTGTGGCTGCTGTACCTCATCTCTCCGCCGTGCTTGTGTTCCCTCATAATGATCCAGACACCATGGACATCCCTATTCCATGCTCTTATGCTGCGGTGATCTCGGGTGCCTAGGCATCCCAGTGGATATAGGCCATGGAGGCAGAGATGGCATCTTATAGATCCATGTGCACTTATGTCGATGCAGATCCTCTGCCTGGAGCGAACATAGTCGATAACATGTGAATCTATAAGGTGAAGCGCCCACCTGGAGAGCTGCCTGCGTTCAAGGCATGGCTATGTGGGTAGAGGGTTTAGTCAGCGAGAAGGCGTGAACTTCTTCCAAACCTTCTCCCTTACCCCGAAGATGGCTACTCTTCGGGTGCTCCTCCACGTAGCCGCACAGCGTAAACACGAGCTTCACCCCCTAGTCTCCTTGACAGTCTTCTTGTAGGGCAGCCTTCACAAGCATATCTTCTTGCGGCGCCCACCAGGCTTCACCACGTCCTTTCCATTTGGGACACGGTGGATTCTGCGCTGCTCTGTCTACGATCTGCGTTAGGAGCCCCGTGAGTGGCACGACACGCTCCGCATTACACTCGCGGCTTTTCAGTTCTTCCCGTCCTCGACTGACCCTTCGCTCTTTGTTCGTACTGGTCAGACTCTGTTCTACATACTTGTGTATGTAGATGACCTCATCTTTGCTACTCCTGACAGAGTTGCACTGGCCTCAATGAAGGCCGAGCTGCTCAGGCGACACGCCTACACAGACTTGGGAAAACGGCGGCGCTATGTGGGCTTGGAGATCTCTCGTGGCCGTGCCGTGCGTACGATCATACTTTTCCAGCCCCACATAGTGCAGCAGATCCTCCAACGCTTCAGCCTTCAGTTCTCTTCAGCACAGCCCACCCCTGTGCCTGTGGATCACACGCTCTCTGCTCCCGTTCCGACTGAGCCGGCCGAATCTAGTGGTCCATACGCAGAGCTCGTGGGGTGTCATGTACCTGATGACATGCACTCAACCAGATCTAGCGTACCCTCTCAGTATCCTTGCTCGGTTTGTTGCGACTGGCAGACACCTATTCAAGCACTGGTCGGCTGACAAAAGGGTGGCGCGGTATCTTGCGCCTACATCAGGAATGAGGCTGTGATAGGAGGATGGGAGCCAGTGATCCTCACTTGACACACAGAAGCGTCGTGGGTTGACGACTTGGAGACAATTATATGTCCTCACAGGGCTACTGCTTTAGTCTTGGTGTGGGTGCATTCTCGTGGAGGTCCACTAGTTCATAGTCTGTAGCTCCGACCAGTTGTGAGGCAGAGATCTACATTGGGGCTATGGCCGCTCAGGAGCTTTGTTGGCTGACGTTCTCGCTCACCGACTTAGGTGAGCGGCCTAGCTCTGCCCAGGTCTTGTTGGCTGATAAAAGGACCATGATCCTCTTGTATTGGGAGGCTAGACTTGAGGGCACGGCAAAGCAAATCTAACTGCGGCACTTCCTGTTGCCTGAGTTGCAGCAGCGCGGTCAGGCTCGTATAGGACAGTTGGCCTCGGAGGCCAACACTGCTGATATCTTTATCAAGGCCCTAGGGTCTCGTGACCATCTACGGTTCTGTACCCAGCTTGGTCTTGCCTCCCTTGTTACCTTCCCGCCTGTTCCTGTCTCGAGTCTTGACACGCTTGCTGCTGCCGTAGCTGAGTTCGCCTCTATCCGCCGCCTTGACTACACCACCGCTCTGGTCTCTGACCCTGACCGTCCTCCGTCCGTGAGGGGTGCTCCTGCCCTTGGCACAGACGTCCTGGAGGACCGGCATTACGAGCTTGCTTTCCTATCCAAGGCCACGCCTCATCTCTGCTCCATGCTGCTAGTCCCTTAGAGGGACCCAGACGCCTTTGACATCTCGACCCCTCGCACTTACGTGGAGGCGACCTCGGGACTCTGGGCCTCTCAGTGGATAGCTGTCATGGACGCGGAGATGGCATCTTGAAGATCCACCGGCACCTACATCGACTCAGTTCCCCCACCTGGGTTGAACGTAGTCGATGGCCGATGACTCTTCAAGGTGAAGCGCCCTTCTGGAGAGCCGCCAGTGTTCAAGGCATGCTACGTTGCTAAAGGCTTCAGTCAGCGCGATGGTGTTGACTTCTTTCAGACCTTCGCCCCGACCCTGAAGATGACCACTCTTCGGGCGGTGTTAGATGTAGCAGCATGGCGTGACTACGAGTTGCACTCTATCGACTTCTCGACATCGTTTCTTCAAGGCAGTCTGCACGAGCAGGTCTACCTACGTCGCCCGCCAGGTTTCACTGGCACCTTCGGCCCGGAGAGCCATTGGCTCCTCCAGCACCCGGTTTGCGGCCTGCGGTAGGCGCTCTCTGAGTGGCACGATACGCTTCATGCTACGTTAGCTGACCTGCAATTCTTCCTATCGTCTGCAGACCCCTCGCTCTTCGTTCGTGCTGGCCAGATCCCATTCTACATCCTTGTCTACGTAGACGACTTGGTCTTTGCTACTGCAGACGGAGACGTACTGGCCTCCGTGAAGGCTGGGTTGCTGAGGAGACACACCTACACTGACCTAGGAGATCTGCGTCGTTACCTTGTCCTGTAGGTCTCCAGGGATAGAGCAGCGTGCACCATTACTCTCATACAGTCACACTTGGTGCGCCACGTCCTTCAGAGGTTCGGTGTTCAGTTCTCCTCTACACAGCCTACACCTCTGTCAGTAGATCACCGGCTCTCAAATCTAGCCCTTGAGGAGTCTGTAGAGCCTAGTGGTCCTTACGCAGAGCTGGTGGATTGCCTCATGTACCTGATGACTTGCACTCGTCCAGATCTGGCATACCCTCTCAGCATCCTGGCTCGCTTTGTGGCCACAGGCAGACACCGACCACAACACTGGTCGACCGCTAAGAGGGTTTTGCGTTATCTAGTATGTACATAGGGCATGGGGCTAGTGCTAGTAGGACACAGGCTAGTGGTCCTTACTGGGCACATAGACGCTTCGTGGGCAGACGACGCTGAGACGCTCAGGTCCTCCCAAGGCTACTGCTTTAGCCTTGGTGCAGGCGCCGTCTCGTGGCGGTCCACCCGTTCGTCGTCTGTTGCCCAGTCTAGCTATAAGGGTGAGATCTATGCCGTTGCCATGGTGGCACAGGAGCTCCGCTGGCTGACTTCTTGCTTACAAACTTAGGTGAGCGGCCTAGCTTTGCCCCGGTCCTTTACGCTGACAATAGGGCTATGATTCTCCTATGCCAGGAGCCTCGACTTGAGAGCAGAAAGAAGCACATCCAGCTGCGATACTTCCTCATGTGTGAGCTACAGCAGCGCCGCCAGGCCCGCGTAGTACACGTGGCCTTACGTGCCAACACAGCTGATATCTTTATAAAGGCGCTTGTGCCTAAAGGTCATCAGCGGTACTGTGTACAGCTTGGTCTAGTTCCTGTAACTTCTCACTTGCTAGAACCTTGATTATGGACTACTTTTATGTTATATTGACTTGCCTTGTGGCTCTTGTCCCAGTGGCTGGACAAGTAGTACTGCCCTGGGTTGCTCTTGTTTAGTTTGTACTCTTGCTGATTGGTCTTCGAACCCCTGCCTCAGAGGATGGACTAGTAGTGCCATCCTGAGTTGTGTGTCTCTTGCCAGGCACTGCCCCTCTTCTAGTCTAGGGGGTGTGTCAAACATATTGTGTATATGTCTTATTGGCTAGATAGGTGCGTACTCTTAGAGAGTACGACTCTTTAGACAAAACCATACTGTTTGTATCATTCTAGTCATTCATTCTAACTTTGATGAGGACTTTATGAACAATAGCATAGTTAGGGTTTATGCATATACAGGGTATAACACTCAGATATACCCAACTGTCTTGTGGTCTCTAGTAACTTGATTCTTTCGGCAAGTAAGACCCTATGTTCTTTTAGTTGGGTGTATACGGTAACCGTTTACAGCACAGAACTGTTATCGAGTCTAAATTGGCCCCAAAGGTAATAGTACATGGCTAGCTAGGACTAATTGCTCCCGTATTCTATGCTGTTATTATATTATCATGTTACATTCACTATTGCAGGGTCACTCAAAGACTTCCAAGTATTCGGATAAATTTATTTTTAATCTTAAGGGACTCTTCAGACCTTTTTCATCACAACGCTCACAATGACTTTATGAGGGAGGGACAGGCTAACGCATAAAATATTCTTAGCTGTACTTTGAGAAGCCATAACATAAGCTATCTATTGGGTGGATCTTGTTACGTCGCCAGCACCTAGCGACGGGGATGACGAATGTCGTGGGTTGCCATGGCGAGTAACGCGTTGTCGGACAGGCAAAAGGAAGAGATGTTGAGGATGAGATGAGACATGACACCTGCACACAAGCACACCGGATCCCACTCAAATCCTAGACCTTGGGGAAGCCTAGCCTGTGCCTTGGCGGACGCTGTTCCAACTTTACACGTACAGCTCGTGCGCGATCTGCCATGCTGGCTCCAGTGGGCTCCAGCGCCGGGCCTGTCGCCTCTCCCCGCCCGCCGGGTGGAGGCGGCGAGGCGCTTCTGCCCGCGGCGACGGAGGGCGAGGAGCTGGTGACGCTGCTGGAGGACGGCCGGCAGGAGGTGGACGAGGAGCGCGGGCGCGCGTCCACGCAGAGGCACTCCGGGACCAAGGTGACGCCTGCTGTGGGGAGCAGCGGCGGCCAGGAAAGTCGTTAGGCTTATGTCTACTCGGGATTGCGTTTCCGCCTACGGGTGTAGCACGGGGCGCCACTCAAGTGGCACGGTGATCGGCTGCCGTCGGTCCTCGTTCGCTCGCCATTCTGACCGTCTTCCCCGTGCTCTCCCCACCCTCCGCTTCCCATTTTGCGCCATTCTACCGCGCCCGTCTCCGTGCCATTTTACCGCGGCAGGAGCGCGCGGAGAAGCACGAGAAGCGGCGTAGCCGAGGGGGCGGGGCGCATGGCGGGGGCTCGCAGGACGGGTGGAACGTGCGGGAGAACTTCTGGTGGCTGTGGGGGGGGTCGCCGCACTCGGGGCTGCTGTGCATGGCGTCGTCCGCGCTGCTCTTCAGCTTCATGGGGCTGCTCGTCAAACTGCTCTCTGGTCGCCACCCACCACCCTCCCATGCCGCACATCGCTCCCATGCACTCCCTCCCGCACCCACTCCCACGCTCCCCCATCCCTAAGAGCGTTTGTAGATCGGACACAGCGAGAGCAGATGCGAGGCATGCGCAATATTGGGCTGCCACCGCGTGAACCACCCTTAACGCCTTCCTCCGTCCCTCTTCTCCTCCCCCCTCGGCAGTGCACGCCATCCCGTCGTTCGAGACCGTTTTTGTGCGGTGCGCCGTGATCGCAGCGCTGTCCGCCCTGTGCCTGCACCGCATCGGCCACCCGCTGCTGGGCGCGCCCAACCTGCGCCTGCTGCTGCTGGCGCGCGCTGTGCTGGGCTTCATCGCCCTCTCTGCTTTCTTCTACAGGTTCGCTTCAATCTCAAATGTTGCACGCACTCATGGGTAATAGCTGCTCGCGATTAGGTCCTCCCTAAACCCCCTTTTCCCATATTTCTCCTTTCTCTCCCTCTTCCCGCCTGCCATTCCCCCCTTCCGCCCTCTTTCCCTCTCCCTCCCCCCTCTCTCTCTGTGTCCACCGTGTGCGCCCCCCCTGAGTCCCGCATGGCAGCATCCAGGTGCTGCCGCTGCGTGACGCCACGCTGATCAGCTTCACGCTGCCGGTGTTCACGGCCATCATCGCCACCATGTTCCTCGACGAGAAGTTCACCTCCAGAGAAATCGCAGGTCACCACCCCCCTGCACTCGGGCAATTATCATACATGCGCACACATAGTATATGTATGGCAATTGCAAAAGCATGCATGATGTTGCCACTTTTCCGTGCTGATCTTGATTTCCACACCTATTGCTGGTCTGCTTGCAACTTCCTTTGAATCTCGCCTTTGACGATGATCGGTCATGTGCCATCATGGACTGTGGGCCATCACGGGCCGTGTGCCATCATGGGCGGTGTGCCACCATGGGTCGTATGCCATCATGGGCGGTGTGCCATCATGGGCGGTGTGCCATCATGTGCCGTGTGCCATCATGGGCGGTGTGCCATCATGTGCCGTGTGCCATCATGGGCCTTGTGCCATCATGGGCCTTGTGCCATCATGGGCCTTGTGCCATCATGGGCCTTGTGCCATCATGGGCCTTGTGCCATCATCGGTCTTGTGCCATCATGGGCCTTGTGCCATCATGGGCCTTGTGCCATCATGGGCCGTGTGTTCAACATCCCTCCCACAGGCACAGCATGTTGTCTTCTGGGGGTGCTCATGGTGACCCAACCACCAATCGTCTTCGGAGGTACCTTCTATCACCAATCGCTAACAACATCGCTGCCTATAATCGCTACTCACGCTCACTGCATGTTCCCAATTTTGCTCTTCCCATTATCATTTTACTGACACTACCTTAACTGTCCATCTTCTTTTGAAGAGCTTGTTGCATGAGTTTCTGATTCAGCAGTCCGTGCCCTCTTCTGTGCGCTGCCTCCTGCCATCAGGCCCGTTGACTGGGCAAGAGGACCCGTCGCAGCGCCACGAGAGTCTCGTGGGGGTGCTGGTGGCGCTGCTGGCAGCGCTGGTGGGCGCAGTGGCGCTGTGCCTCGTGCGCAGCATTGGCAAGACAGGGGAACAACCACTGTATGGCCTGCTCCACCGCCGCGCCATCCCTAGTCATGCCGCCTTTCCCTGTTCTAGCCTTAAGCATTTATGGCATAGAGTGGAGGGAGCAGTTATTTGCAGTATGAGAACAAGAGTGTTTTTTGTCACTGTGACCACTTGTCACCTCGCTCAACCTCTCGCTCCACTGCATGCTGGCTGTGCCCTTGTCTTCTGCTCTCTCTATAACCTTCAAATTCTCTACTTTTGTGCAATTCCCCTGTCTTCTTGCCCATGTGTTCAGCGCGGTTGTGTTTGTCTTCGCTGCCTTCTCCTGCCCGGCTTCCTTGATCTGTCTGCTGCTCTTTCAGGTCTTCGTTTCTATTCCCCATGTTTGGCTGCCCCTCTTCCTCCACCATGCTCATCGTCGTCTCTCTCCTCACGTTTATCACTGCAGTGCATTGAGGCGCCTTAGATCCCGTTTCTGTGCAGCAGGGTTGTCGCCCCCCCTGCACCTCTTTGTTTCTTGTTCCATGTCTGCTCCATTGTTGTCCTTCTCGAGTGATATTTCTCCAAGGGCTAACTCCCAGCCAGGCCATGGTGCCACGTGCCATCCCCTCAGGGTTTTGTGATGCCATCGGCATCTGAGCTGGTGGGCATGCTGCTTGTGGGGGTCACGGCCTTCGCAGCTCAGGTGATGCCCACCTACCTCTCTCGTTGCCACTGTGCCCTGTCGCCCAAGTTGCTGCTGTTGCCACGTTTCTTTGAATTGCCTTCCCTTTTCGGCATAGTGGTAGTGCCATCTCGCCCCATCCTCTTCTCTCTTTGTTGTGGAAGTCCGCTCTTTCATGTGACGGCATGTTCCTTCTCTCTATTCCGCTCGCTGTTCATCTCAGGTTCTGCTCACGCGCGGGCTGCAGCTGGAGAAGGCAGGCAGAGCGTCAGCGATGCATTACATCAAGGTAACCATGTGCCGTGCCCCATCTGCCATGTGCACTGTGTGTCCCCTGTGCTGTGGCCATGAGCAGCATCAATCATGCATGTCGCATGCTTCCTTTCGCCCCTGCTGCGCTCTCAGGTCGTGGGCACCTACTTCCTGGGGCTGCTCTTCCTCTCGGAGCGCCTGTCGCTCAAGAGTGCAGCGGGAACGGTGCTAATCTGTGCTGCCACAGCCTTCATTGCAGTGGGGGACAGGGATGTGCGAGGGGAAGAGCGTGCGTGACTCACACTACCATGCTGCTGCCTACTTTAGCTGTTCTCATATTGGGTATATAAGCGTAATGAGCGAGGAACATGGCGTTTTCCCAGCCATTGCCATGTGCGTCAAATGGCATACGATCATGAGTCAGCTGCCGCCACACCCTACTTGAGTAGGCTGGTAGTGAGTAGGTGTGTAAGGATTAGGATGGGTGTGAAAGTCGAGGAATAGTGTTCATTGTTGATTGTGGTTTGTGATATAACACCAGTACCGTAGCTTAAAATCAAAGTACAATGAAACATACAATTCCAATGCAACGGAATGGCCGATAGAGGTTCAATCAAGAATTGTTACCATTCTGTACAAACCAAGGGTGAAACAACATTGCTCCTTCGGAGGCTTGGTTTGGTGTACCTCATTCGCAGGTGGCAGTAGACGGACCGACATTTTGCTACGTAGCTGACGGCTATCTCATCCAGCTCCTTGCCCAAGTTGCAAATTGCCTTCCTCGAGAAGCGTGCAGGTGGTTCCGTGTAAGGTCGGATGATTCTCTATTGCAAGTTTGAACCGCATTTCGTCCCCCACATTCGTACCCAGTCGAACAGAGATTCTTTGAAGAGGAACTTCAAAGCGCAATTAGGCAGCTGGTCCCCTCGCTGACACCGTAAATTATCGAGGGCCGAAAACAACAATGCACCAAACACGCCTTGAACCGTAACCTTCCTAACATTCCTGATAGAGTTGCCGGTTCGCGACAACAAAGAGCTGGCGACAGTTCAAAGACTTCGCGTCTGGAGGCAATTGTCCGTCGTTGACGTCGCACGCCACCTGATGCTTGGGAAATGCTGCCCCAGGTCCACTCTGCAACGTTCTGTGTGAACACCGAGGGACCCCCCCCTATCCCCCCCCCCATCCTCCCCATATCCCTACTTCCCCTCCACCCCTCCCTCACCAGCTCCTTGCCTCTGTTGTTCCCGCCTCCGTACAACATAGTGCCTGCTGCGCCTTGCTTGAGGTCCACAGGTTTGGGGGTCTTGAACTTGTGTGATGTTCTGCAGGCGCGCGGTGTGGTTGAATCAGCCTGTTGAGCCATTGAGGTTGCCGATTAGTTTGTAGGTTAGGATCATTAGCGGTACCCGTTGTTTCGTCGCATTGTGAACGGTCTAGGAACCGACGCCTTCCTTCAGCTTATGACTTCCCTGCTTATTCGGGCTCCGCAGTTTGAGGCGTCGTTTACGGAATATCGATATCCCTTTAGCTGTGAAATGGTGTTAAACATATGATTGGATAGTACGGTTGACCGACATTATAGCCACATTGAGTTTCGAAAGGTGGTATTATCAGCTCCACCCTTAGAAGTATTGGCTGTGGGCGTTATTTATTCGACAGTCCTCCACCGCCGCACTTGCCGTGTACTCTGTCGGCCCTGGTGTGCCGTCTTTCTTCCGCGGTGCTGCTACCTGTATGGCAGAGCGCAGCCCTGCGCGACCCCCGACAGCCCCCCTTGTGTCCGCTCCGCTGCCCGTCGATTCCGATTGCCTCGCGATTTCCCCGCGGTCTCTGTCACCGCCAACCCCGTCGCTGCAGCCTGCGTGCATTCCTCGGCGCGTGAAGGCGTCCGGAGCCGTCGACAGTAGTGAGGTCAGTCACCCTGCCACAGACCCCATGTCCCCTTGCCACCACGCGCCCCTTGCCACCACGCGCCCTGCCTCTACTGCCCGCTCACGCCCACGCACCGATGCTGCAGCGATCGAGCTTCTTCTCAAGCTACGGGCGGAGAGCCCTCATTGGGTGGTTTGTTCCTGGAAAGAACCTCGTTTTCTAGGTTTACCTTTCGTGCCAGTGCATGCCAGTTGCCTCGCAAGCTGTTGCGTGTGTGAATCGTTTGACTGCCTCATGCAAAAGCCGCGTGAACAGTAGTCATACCTAGCCTCCTCTGCCCTAATGTCTCCTCTCCGGGGATGCCTTTCAAGTCAGTGTCTTTATCTCCTTCCTGCCGCCCTTCACTCCTTTGCCACGTCAGCAGCGTGCCCGCCATCGCAGGCCACGGGTTCCGAAGTGGGATCGGGAGGAGGCGGACGAGGAGGAGTCGTTGGCGGGCGGCAGCAGCGTGGCTCCCAGTGAGGGCAGCGGCGGCAGCTGCGAGCCCTGGAGCATGGAGGACCATTCCGCCGCCACTGCCACTGCCACGCCCACACCGCCCCTGGCGTCAGCGTCGCCTGACGCGGGGCTAGACGAGCTTCTCGCGGACTTCGCGCAACTACTATCCAGCTCGCAGTGCGTGCTCTCCTTCGCCAATTGCCATCCCGTTTCCGTGCCACGTGTCGCGTCAGTCCCCTCTCTCTCAATCACTATCGTGTGCGTCCTGCCGTTCTTATGCCAGTTGCTCACGTGCCAACGCCTCCTTGCTCCCCCCGCGTTCCCACCGACGTCTTTCTCCGCCCATGTGTTGTCTCCCGCTGTCACCGTGCGCGCAGCAAGCTGTTCCAGGCGGGCGCGGAGGAGGAGGCGGGCAGCGAGGGGGCGGCGGAGGCGTCAGGGCTGGCGGATGACGCGGCGGCCGTGGGGCTGCTGCTGCCGTCGCGGTCGCCCAACTCGACGCTGGCGGATGGCGAGAGGGAGGGCGAGGGCGAGAGCCAGTGGGAGCGCCGCATCCGCAACGTCACGGACTGGTCCCGCCGCCCTGCCAGCGCGTGCGGCCGCGTCACTGTGCGCCCGTCGTCCGCCGCCGCGTCCCCGTCGTCCCGCCTGTCCCCCCAGGAGCAGTGTCTGGACGACAGCCAGCTCTCCATGCCGCGCCAATTCACCCCCGACGTCTTCTCCGCGTCGTCGCCCTTCTCGTCGCCGTCCCGCGCGGCCCCGCGCTCGCTGTTCGACGACCCCATGCTCAGCGAGTTCTCGTCCTCGCACTCGCACACGCGACTCAACCCCGACCGCTCCGCCGCTGACGGGCCGGCCGCAGGGGCGGACGGCGCTGGCGGCGAGGAGGAGGGGGAGCAAGGGGAGGAGGAGGGAGGGGAGGGGGAGGAGGATACATTGAGTGAGGAGTTGGAGAAGGAAGCACGGGCGGTGTCCGGGGCGTCCCCGGAGCACTCTGGGTCGTCGTCGCCCAACATCCTGGTGCTGGACGCGTCCTCGCACCCGCGCGCCGCCACCGCACACTCCTCCATGAACATGGGCCTGCCGCCCCGCCGCACCGACCACCACAGCAAGGCGCCCGTGTCCTTCACGGGCGTCGCCCCGCGCGCTGCCCAGTCCGTGCCCTCCTCCCCGCCCGTCACCGCGCTGCCCTCCCCCGACCGCGCCCTGGCCGCCGCCAGGGAGCGCGACAAGGACTCCACGGCGCGCCTGCGCGCAGTGGGCCGCTCCGTCAGCATGAAGCTCTTCCGCTCCGTCGGGGCCGCGGGGGCCGCCGGCCCAGGCGCCAGCAGGCCGCCGCTGCCACGCGGCCTGCAGGGGCAGAAGGGCGGGTCGGAGAAGGACAAGGAGAAGGGCGGCGGCGTGGGTGGCAGCAGCGCGAACGCCGTGGTGAGCTGCCCCGAGTGGGAGCAGCTGTACGGGCTGGCCAAACGGATCGCCAAGGACGCCAGCCTCGCGCAGTGCGGCAGCGCTTACAGGTGCAGTGCACCCAGGGGCAGTGATTACAGGCATAGTGTATACAGGGGTAGTGATTACAGGCACAGTGCACACAGGGGTAGTGCTTACAGGCACAGTGCATACAGGGTTAGTGATTACAAGCACAGTGGACAGCTCTGCTATGTTGGCATGGCGTTCAGGTAATGAGGATTCCGTGCAGTTTGGTGAGAGGTGGACGAGGAGTGGGGGTAGGAGCGTGAAATGCATGCCGTGCACCGACTCAGGTTCCACACCTACTGTTGCTTGCCCACCATGCCTTGCACCACCTCCTCCTCCCCCCTCCACCCCCTCCCGAGCAGGAGTGCGCGGCTGGTGGTGCTGCAGGAGGCGGTGCAGGCGGTGGGCGTGGAGTCGTTGGAGGGGCGCGACCTGCAGTCGCTGCCGTGGGGCGACATGGAGCAGGTGCTGCGCAGATGGCTGCACGACACACATGCTCTGGTAACAACATGGGGATGGGAGAGGGGGGGAGGGTAGGGGGCTAGATTCTATTACCTGGTGCAGTTGGGCCTGTAGGCTTGGTGCAGTGCTGGTGCACATTCCAGCGTGTGGTGCCGATGTGCCATACTTGACCCACCATGGGCCATGCTTGACCCACCATGCGCCATGCTCGACCCACCATGGGCCATGCTTGACCCACCATGCGCCATGCTTGACCCACCATGTGCCATGCTTGACCCACCATGTGCCATGCTTGACCCACCATGTGCCATGCTTGACCCACCATGTGCCATGCTTGACCCACCATGTGCCATGCTTGACCCACCATGTGCCATGCTTGACCCACCATGTGCCACTCACCTCTACATATGCCGCGCACATTGGTGCTGCCATGCATGGAGCCCAGCGCCATCACCCGCGTCCCCTCTGCACCTCCTCTGCACGCGTCCCCCCACGTGGCGTGTGAGCAGGTGGCGGTGCAGCTGGACGGCGAGCGGGCGCTGTTTGCGTCGGTGATAGGGCGTCTGGGCGTGGGGACGCTGGGCGTGTTCACGGCGCTGCTCACGGACTCGGGCCTCGTGGCGGCGCTGCGAGTGCTGGCGGCCAACGCCAGCGCGCTGCTGGCGACGCCCAACCTGCCGGAGAAGCTCTTCGCCTACCTCGACGCCTTCTGGCTCTGCCGCTCCTCCGTTGCCTCCGTGCGTGCCCTCCCTGCCTCCTGCCCTCGCTCCCACCCCCTGCCTTGAGTCTCTGTCCAGTGGAAGGGAGGGGAGTAGGGGATAGGTGAACCTGCACCAAGAGCCATGGCTGAAACCTACTGTGGGGGCTGGCCCTCTGTAGTGGCTGTGCTGCTGCTCACAGCATGCATGTCCCCTTGCAGCGCCATCCATACCCCCACGTCTGCTGCCCCCTTGTCCCCATGTGCGCTGCATGCATGTCCCGTGTGGCAGGTGGAGGAGGCGGCGAAGGCAGCGGAGGACGCGGCTCTGGCGGCGGCGTGGGTGGAGCTGCCGGGCAGGCTGGCGAAGGCCGCCACGAGCTGCATCGACGAGGTCGTCACCATGCTGCGCGCCTCCGCAGGCACCTCTACTGCCCTCGCCAAGCGCTCCATGAGCCACCGCCTCAGGTGCGCACACGGGGGGGAGGGGGAGGGGGGGAGGAGGGGGGAGGGCGAGGGGGGGTATGGAATGGTGGTGCTCGTGGGGTGACTCACTGGATGGTGGTGAATGGAGGCGGAAATGGAATGGCATGTTGGAAGGGATTGGCAGGATGCATAGCATGGGGCACGCCATGTGTAATATGCTCTTTGCGTGTCCTTGGCCTGGTGGTTTCTTCTGAGGGCTGCTCGCCTTTAAAGCACAGAAGACATTTACACATCTATTGTGCGCATTGGCATGCTACATCCAGTCATGATGTGACACGGTTCATGAGGTGGTATCATGATGTAATGATTTGACAAGCTGTCATTTACTGCAATGATGGCAATGATGGCATTGATGGCATTGATGGCGATGATGGCATTGATGGCAATGATGGCATTGATGGCATTGATGGCCGTTGATGGCAATGATGGTGTTGATGGCATTGATGGCATTGATGACAATGATGGCATTGATGGCAATGATGACATTGATGGCAATGATGGCATTGATGGCATTGATGGCATTGATGACAATGATGGCATTGATGGCATTGATGGCATTGATGGCATTGATGGCATTGATGGCATTGATGGCATTGATGGCATTGATGGCATGGCAAGCAGGTTGAGTCGGGGCAGCAAGGGCATGGAGTCGAGTGGCGAGGGGCAGGTGGACGCCACAGTGCACCCCATCACGAGCTATGTGGTCAACTACGTGCGCCAGATCATGGACAAGTGAGGCCGATCATGGGCAAGTGAGGCCGATCGTGGGCAAGTGAGGCCGATCGTGGGCAAGTGAGGCCGATCATGGGCAAGTGAGGCCGATCGTGGGCAAGTGAGGCCGATCGTGGGCAAGTGAGGCGGATCATGGGCAAGTGAGGCAGATCATGGGCAAGTGAGGCAGATCATGGGCAAGTGAGGCAGATCATGGGCAAGTGAGGCAGACCACGACTTGTCACTTCCCAACCCTCATGTCTCAACCATCCCTCACCACGCGTTGTGGTGGTGTGTGTGGCGGGCGGTGCGCAGGCACATAGCGGGCAGCTACGGGTGCATACTGCAGGCGGTGATCGAGGAGCACTTCCCCGAGCGCACCAGCGTGGAGGCGGTGGGCATGAAGGTGCTGGAGGCGCTGGAGGCCAACCTGGAGGGCAAGGCGCTGCGCTGCCACGACGACACCACCAAGACGCTCTTCTTCGTCAACAACTTCACCTACATCTGCAACCACCTGTCAGTCTGCCTGCCCGCCCGCCCCTTTGTGCCTCACAACCCTCAAAACTCGCCAGGTTTCTGGCTTGCTTGTGCTGTGATGCCACATGCACGCAACTTGTGTTGTTGCACTGTGATTGGAGTGAGGCAAGAGCTTGTCTTTCCGTGCCCGGGGACCTCACGCACCTCGCACTGATCCCTCTCCTGCCTATATGCGCCCTTCCCCCTGCCTCCAGCTCCGATTCGCCGTTCAAGTGCACACAGTCTTTCAAACAGAAGCAGGAACGCAACGCCGAGACCTTTGCCACTCTAGCCCTATCCAAGGCATGCTCTCTCTCCCCCCCTCCTCTTCCCCCACCCACTATCCCCTCTCGCTCTCTCTTTCTCTCTCTCTCTCTCTCTCTCTCTCTCTCTCTCTCTCTCTCTCTCTCTCTCTCTCTCTCTCTTTCTCTCTCTTTCTCTCTCTCTCTCTCTCTGCCTTTCGTCCTTTCACTTTTATGTTAATATTTTCTGTCTCTCTGAGTGCTCTGCTCCCACACTTATGTGCTCCTCTCTCGTCTGCTTCTGTATCGTAACCCACTGTTGATTGCATCCGCCCCCCTCCCCCCTTGCGCTTCCCCGGGCGTCTGTGTGCGCAGCTGCATGGGGCTTTGGGTCCCAAGGGCCACAGCCAGGGCTACGACAGGGGCGAGATTCGCAACAGGTGCGTGTGCTACCGCCGTGCCTTGCTGGACTGGACCATCCACTTGTATCCCTGCCTGAGCGTTGCCGTGCGCTGCTGCTGACTCGTGATGGCATGCTGTGCGCGTGGCGGCGGTGGCAGGTTGAAGCGGTTCAACCGGCTGTTTGAGGAGCTGGCGCTGCAGCAGAAGGACTGGGTGATCACGGACGACAAGAGCCGCAAGGAGGTGCGGCGCCTGCTGGGCGCGTCCATCAAGGACCACTACATGGACTTCCTCACGCCGCACAGGTGCGCTCGCTGCCGCTCAACCCCCCCCCCCCACACCGTTGCCTCTCTCTGTCCTGTTCTGTGCTGCCTAAATCACGTTCCACTCTGTGTTGCCTGCACACTTGTAGAAACTACGGTCCTCGTATACCTATGCTGTTGCATGCATGTGTGGTGAGTGGGTGCATGGCATGATTGCAGGGACGTGTTGACGGACATCCCCACGTACCAGTGGACGCCTGACGGCATCGAGCGCATGGTGCTCAAGTCGTTCCTGCTGGGCCGCGGGGCAGTGCCCTTTGCCACCTCCATGTGACGCGCACCACGCCACGCCAACCCACCCACGCCACCATGCCACTCGCACCGTCATCCCCCTCCCCCCGTCCAACTGTCCCTGAGTCCGTTTTCATGCACGGAAGTAGGCCGTCCGTGGCGGCTAACACGCTGAGCCATGTGCTGGGTGGGTGCCATTGCTGCCTTGCCCCGTGCAGCCATGCAGCCATGCAGCTATGCAGCTATGCAACTGACCGTGGCAGGGGCAAACACAGCTGGAGTAATGCAGTGCAGGCACACATGCGGTGGGGAGTTAGAGCACGCAGAGAGGTAGACGGAGCAGTAGAATAATGGGGCATGGGGATTAGGCTGCTACAAGCAAGAGTTAGGCGATGGAGCGTTAGGTGACATGGAGAAAGGAAATAGCAAATCAGGTTGCTGGGAGGAAAAGCAGAGGTGATGATAAGGCAGAATCCGATAAGTGTTTTGGATGTGGGATGGAGAGGGCCCCAAGTGCAGGTGATGTTGTGACATGCTGAGGCAAAACGGGTACATGGGGTGCAAATTAGGCAGCAGCAGGATAGGTGATGGATGAGGCGGTGCATGGTGATGTGGCAAGCGGACAAGTCGTGAAGCAAGCAGTGCTGCAGGGGAGAGAAGAGCGCCTGCACACAGGAATGCAGAGCAGCGTCTCCCATGTGCGTGCTTCCAAATAACCCGCCAGTTCGTAGAGTGTCTAGCTAGAGTGTGCATATCTGGAGCACTCCGATGTTAGTGTGGTTTATATCACTGTATGATGTAGCCGACCAGCATGATAGACCCTACAGGGCTGAAGCTCTCCACACCGCTGCCACCCCGAGAGGGTCGTCCATGTGCTTGTGTTGTGGTATGGTGCTGCACTCCCTGGTTACTATCAGAACTCAGTCACTAACCACTGAGTTAAAAGGGCTTGTTAAAGCCCGAGTTCAGAATGGTTTGCTATCAAGCTGAGGAATCCTGTATCAGAAAGAAAATGATTGAACTAGAATGTGTGTGTACAATGATATATAGACTAGGGTGTTGTACCCTCTAAGGCACAATCCAGTATAGTCTACAGTAACAACCTAATATCAGAAAATTGAATGATGGTAATAGAGGGAGAGTACACACAATATAGCTAAGTGTTGTACCCTCTAAGAGGCTACCCTATACAGTCTATACAAACATAACAAATAGACATGTTTGACACACCCCCTAGACTGCATAGGGGAAAGTCCTAAACAAACAGCTCAGGGCGGCACTACTAGTCCAACCTCTGAGACAAGGGTCTGAGAGACCAGTCAGAAGGAGTACAGACAAGGCAAGCAAAGAGCAGGGCGGCACTACTAGTCCAGCCACTGGGAGAGGACACAAGTCCAGTCTGAGTATACATATAAAGGACAGTACAAAGTCAAGGTCCTAGCAAGTGAGAGGCTACAGGAACTAGACCAAGCTGTACACAGTGCCGCTGATGATCTTTAGGCGCAAGCGCCTTCGTAAAGATATCAGCCGTGTTGGCACCTGAGGCCAAGTGTACTACGCGAGCCTGACGTCGCTGCTGTAGCTCACGCAGGAGGAAGTACCGCAGCTGAATGTGCTTCGCTCTGCCCTCGAGTCGAGGCTCCTGACACAGGAGGATCATGGCCCTGTTGTCAGCGAACAGGACCGGGGCAGAGCTAGGTCGCTCACCTAAGTCAGTGAGCAAGAAGGTCAGCCAGCGGAGCTCCTGTGCCGCCATGGCACCGGCGTAGATCTCAGCCTCACAGCTGGACTGTGCAACAGACGAGGAGCGAGTAGCTCTCCACGAGACGGCACCTGAGCCAAGGCTGAAGCAGTAGCCCTGGGTAGACCGGAGTGTCTCAGCGTCGTCTGCCCACGAAGCGTCTGTGTGCCCAGTAAGGACCGCTGGCCTGCGTCCTCCTAGCACTAACCCCATGCCCGATGTACTAGCAAGATAACGCAGAACCCTCTTAGCGGCAGACCAGTGCTGCGGTCGGTGTCTGCCTGTGGCCAGAAAGCGAGCCAGGATGCTGAGAGGGTATGCGAGATCTGGGCGAGTGCAAGTCATCAGGTACATGAGGCAACCCACCAGCTCTGCGTAGGGGCCGCTGGGCTCTAACAACTCCTCAGGCACTGGAGCGGAGAGCCTGTGGTCTACAGGCAGAGGGGTGGGCTGTGCAGAGGAGAACTGAAGGCTGAACCTCTGAAGGACCTGGCGCACCAAGTGTGACTGAGTCAGGGTGATGGTGCGCGCAGCTCTGTCCCTGGAGATCTGCAAGCCAAGGTAACGGCGCAGTTCTCCAAGGTCAGTGCAGGTGTGTCTCTTCAGCAGCTCTGCCTTCACGGAGGCCAGCGCGTCCCTGTCTGCTGTGGCAAAGACCAGGTCGTCGACGTAAACGAGGATGTAGAACGGAGTCTGGCCAGCACGAATGAAGAGTGAAGGGTCTGCAGAAGACGGAAAGAACTGCAGGTCAGCAAGCGTAGCACGCAGAGTGTCGTGCCACTCACGGGGAGCCTGGCGCAGGCCGTAGACGGGGCGCCGCAGGAGCCACTGGGTCCCAGGAGGGAAGGTGCCAGTAAAGCCCGGAGGGCGGCGCAGGTAGACCTGCTCGTGTAGGCTGCCCTGAAGGAAGGCAGTGGAGAAGTCGAGAGAGTGAAGCTCGTAGTCACGCTGAGCAGCTAGGTGTAACAGAACCCGAAGAGTAGTCATCTTCGGGGTCGGAGCGAAAGTCTGGAAGAAGTCCACCCCCTCGCGCTGACTGAAGCCTCTAGCCACATAGCGCGCCTTGAAGACAGGCGGCTCTCCAGGAGGGCGCTTCACCTTGAAGAGCCAGCGGCCATCGACTACGTTCACCCCAGGTGGGGGAACTGCGTCGACGAAGGTGCCGGTGGATCTCCAAGATGCCATCTCCTACTCCATGGCAGCTATCCACTGCGAGGCCCAGGGTCCCGAAGTCGCCTCAGCGTAAGTGCGAGGGGTCGGGATGTCGAAAGCGTCTGGGTCACCCTCAGGGACTAGCAGCATGGAACAGAGATGGGGAGCAGCCTCAGAGAGGAAAGCAAGCTCGAACTGGCGGTCCTCCAGGACGTCACTGCCAAGGGCAGGAGCACCCCCGACAGACGGAGGACAAGCAGGGTCAGAGACCAGAGCGGTGGCGTAGTCAAGGCGGCGGGTAGAGGCGAAGTCAGCGACAGCAGCGACAAGAGCGTCAAGGCACGAGACTGGAACAGACGGGTCGGTAACGAGAGAGGCAAGGACCCGAGGAACGAGGGGACGAGCGGCACGAAGGTAGTCGGACAGCGGGGGGGGCGCAACAACAAGGGAGGACGGAGGAGGCGACGGCAGAAGGGGAGGACGAGACGCGTGTGAACGAAGCAACATAGGGTGGGAGCGCAGGACAGGCGAGGCAGGACGAGCACGGGAGGGACGGTGAGACCAGACGTGCGATGGAGGAGTCGGGTCAGGAGACAGGGGAGGGGACACAGGAGGTGAACGAGGGGGGAGACGGGCCGGGGACGAGTCCGGCGGAGGGAAAACAGGGCCGTAGACAGGAAGAGGAGGAGACGGTCGGGGAGGAACCGACGCAGGGTCGGGGGACGGAAGGCCGAGCAGGCGAAGGGCGGACACCGGCGGGGACTGCTGCTGCGGCGGCACAACGGCGACACCTGGACCGCAAGCTGCTCCTCGGCTACCACCGGCACTCTCAACACCCGCACCCCCAGAGGGACCACCCTCAGGGCGACCGGGACGAGCACCCCCAGAGTCAGCGAACGGGGGCTGCGACTGCGGCGGCGGCGGCGACGGCGACGGCTGCAGTGGCGGCAGGGACGGCGGAGGAGGGGACTGGGGAGGGGACACCTGGGGAGGGGCGGCCGGCGAGGACTGCACCGGAGGGCCACCAGAGTCAGAAGACTCCTCAACCGGGTCCACGGACGGAAGGGGGGTGACATGGGAGACACCAGAGGGGGCGGGACGGGGAGGAGGAGGAGGATGGGCAGGGACTACCGGGGAAGGGGTGACCAGGAACAGGGGGGGGGTAACCGGGGGACCACGGTGGGGGAAGCGGCGGTAGTAGGAGACGGACTCGTCAAAGGTGACGTCACGAGAGTGAAAGAAGCGGTGAGACGGCGGGTGGTAAAAGTGCCAGTCGGACGCGTCAAGGGGAAAACCGAGGAAGACGCAGGGAAGGGTGCGGGCAGTGAGCTTGTCCGTGCCGGAGGCACGGACGTGAGCAAGGCAGCCCCAGACGTGGAACGCAGACGCGTCACCAGGAGACCCAGTCCACAGACGGGTCGGCGAAACCTGCGGCTGCTGAGGGTGCGGCCACAGGTTAAGCTGGTGAGAAGCGTAGCGCACAGCGAACGGCCACAGAAAATGGGGTGCACCGGCATGGACCATGGAGGTGCGAGCGACCTCCATGACCAAGCCGATGCGTCGCTCAGCGACCCCATTCTGCTGTGGGGAGTCCGGTAGGGTGAACGTCTGGGTGATGCCCTCCGCACGACAAAAGCGACCAAGGACACCTGAGGCAAACTCGCCACCACGGTCTGAGTGAAGACGCAAGACAGGGAGACCGCGGTGGACACGCGCAGAGACAAGCCAGGGGATGAGGGCGCCAGGCACGTCGGCCTTGCGCTCCAGGGGAAAGACTGTGGTGTAACGAGTGAAGTCGTCGACAAGCACAAGGAAGTAGCGCTCGCGACGCGGCCCAGGGACGGGGGCGGGGCCCCAGACGTCCACGTGCAGGGTCTGCAGCGGCGCGACGGTAGGGGGGAACGAGGAGGAGTGAGGGGCACGGCGAAGCCGACCCTCGACACAAGGCGTGCAAGGTGGAGCTGGGGAGGAGGGAAACGCGGGGAGTGAACCTGGGAGACCAAGGACAAGACCGTGCTGGGACATGTGACGCAGACGCGGGAGCGCAGGGTGACCTAGGCGGTGGTGCCACAGGAGGGTCGGGTGAGTGAGGGAGCGACAGGAGCAGGCAGCAGCAACCTGGGTAGACACAGCCACCTGAGGGGGCGCTCCAGCCGGGGGGGGCACGGTGTCCAGAGTGAACAGGCCGGACACCGGGTCCCGGGGGAACGTGGACAGGGGGGCACCAGTGGCGGCCTCGGTACAGACAGCATACCGCTCGTGACCAGGGAACGTAGTGGTGACGCCAAGGTCCTGGAGGCAGCCGACACCAACTAGGTTCCTGGAGAACGAGGGGATATGCAGACCTGTAAGAGAGCCCGAAGGAACCGCCGGACAGGGAAGGGTGGTGGAACTGCGGGCGACTACCGGACCGCCGGAGGGGTCAGCAAGAGAAACGGCAGCAGGAACAGGAAGCGGCGTCAGGGTGGTGGAGTCGCGGAAGAAACACCGAGAGGCGCCAGAGTCCAAGGTGAAGGAAAGCGAAGCCGAGGGGTCTGGCGACGGAACGACGGCAGAAGCACCAAGACTACACAAAGCAGGGGATCCTACGCCTGACGGAGCAGGGGGGGCTAAGCTAGGCACACCTACACTAGGCAACAGTGAGTAATAAGTCGGAAGCACACTAGAGTCATCAGCATACATCACATGCAGAGCAGAAACAATGGCATCCATGTCCATATCAAAGATCTGAATCTGACGACTAAGCAAACTGTGCCAGTCCGGGAGGTCTGGCGACGGGCCGAAACGCTGACGAAAGAGGTCGTCCAGGCGACGAAAGCAGCGGGGAGTGGAGTGACCGATCTTACCGCAAACGAAACCGCGGCGAGGACCGGTCTGGATCTGGTACTGACAACGCCCGCCGGAAGAGCCACCTCGCGGCACACCACCACGCGCCCGTCCACCGCCAGCGCCGGGCCACCCTGGCGGGAGAACA